CAAATTTGTCATAATCGTAAACACTAATGCCTGTTTGCATAATATTTTATCTATTATCCAAATTTTATTCTGTTGATATCGAAAAAGTCTCATTTATTTGAAGTATCTCATGGTTTCGAACACATGAGGCCGTACCAATTTGGATCTGGATAAACAACTGTACCTAAATTGGCGGACGAGAACACATGGGGCGAGGGTAATGAAGCAAGATCTGATTTATATGGGTCAAATTAACCACAAACATATTTTAAGTTTATATCCGGGCCCTCGTAATGCAGGACGAATGGTGGCGATGATAAAACTCTGGAAGCCTGAATATATAAAGCCCCATTTCTCGTCGCTTGGTCGTCTATTCGTAAATCTGTCTGAACTTAAAGTTGGAAATCCAGAAAAGGCCTTTTAGTGTTCAAAAAGAGAAATATGTCAGCTAATGCCTTTGTCGCCTCGGCTATCCAATCGCCTTAGCGCTCACAGAGTAAGTGGGCCTTCCTCTTTATGGGCATAAAGATGACGCCCGATTACGTTCAATTATAGGCATTCCGATTGGATTTAAATATATCTACTTTAATGGCATAAAATATTTTTAACCTTACCAAAAACGCAATAAGTTTCTTTGCAAAATCAGCGAATTTAAGGTAAGAAGATATGGGCACATCAGATATCAGAAGTCCAAAGAAACACAAACAGCTTAGAAAAGAATTTTTTTTAATATTTGGCCCAGTAAACCTTATATTATACAAGCGATAAACATTTATAAAACAATTAAAAATGTTATAAAAACACAAAAGTCATATTCAATGCTCCACGTTCTTAGAAACACGCGTAACAGATTTGTTCTGTCTTCTTCCGGCGTAACGATAATCCGTAGGAGGATAAGTGTAGTAAGACTTCTGTTTCTTGGTGTGTACGTAGCTCAAATCCTAGCTGGGGTAAGTAGCACGCTGGTAGTTTCTATCCACATTGTTGTTATAAGGCTGATAAACACCCCCACCCAAATTAGAAGCGCTTGAAGAATAAATTGGGACCGTCTGTATAACGTTATAGGTATGGGTACCACTCTATAGTTAGATGGCAAATTTGAGCTTATGAGGCCAATGTTGTAGTCAGCGGCATCGGCAGTGTGATTGTAATTAGCTTGAGTAGGGATCAATTGGGGTTAACTTAAGCCTGAGCAATTTTTTTTGTGTGTGTGTTTTGCAGTGTTATTATTGTAAATATTCGGATCAATAAACGCACATTTTAGTTACTAAGATCATTGTTTTTATCTCATTCTCTCAACTTCAGCGATTCTCACCTCCTCAAAAGCCAGTTACACTCACAAGTTTACAAGACCTATGTATTTAATGTATTAAGTTATAGAGCCATTGATTTTGTTAGTAAGAGTATAAAGTTTATAGTAATAGCATAATGAGACCAAGAGGATATGTATATGAAGTATAAAAATTGTTTGCTACACTATGTTATGAGATTGTAGTTAAAAAGTTTTTATATTATTGATTATTAGAAGACGCCAAAAACCTTAATTTTAANTGTATATGAAGTATAAAAATTGTTTGCTACACTATGTTATGAGATTGTAGTTAAAAAGTTTTTATATTATTGATTATTAGAAGACGCCAAAAACCTTAATTTTAATTAAAAAAAATGAGATCATGATAACTTGTAAATACTAATAACGAATAAAATCATTAAGTCCGTTCCCACTTGCGATACAACACATGATGCTAGTCCCTTCACTTCCCTCTTCCCTTGACCTTTAAGCACCAATATTTAATTAATAGCATCAATCACCTTAATATACAAACCTCCCTGCAAAATTTCAACACAAGGCACAAGAGTTATTAAGCTTCAAACTGGGTGAACAAAATAGATTTTCTCAAACACACGAATATCCATACTTACGAGAAAAAAATCCAATTTTTTGCATTTCTCGACGTTTCAGGGTGCCCTAAATCCGAAAATGTAAAAAATTGATATATCATTGAATATAGTAAATATTTTATTAGTCATTCCTTAGTTATAGATTCACAGATCGTATCTCTTATATTATCACAATAGTATTCAATTAAAATTAATATACTCCAAAATTTCAGAAAATCAGATTGCCATTTACTTTTTCCCTAAATCAAAGAAAATTTTTGGTGGCAAATGTTTTCTGATCGAAGATAGCAAAGATTGGAAAGAAAATTCGCTTGTATGATGTTAGGACATAAAGACATAAAGCTTAAACAAATATTTATTGGCATCCGACAAGGATTTTTCAGATGTAACAAGTTATGGATAGATCCATGATTGATTGCTTTTTTCCTTTTCCAATAATAATATTTTTATTTTGAAAATGTATTAATAAAAATACTAAAAAATTATTGTAAATTATAATACAAGAAATAAATAAGCGAAAAAGTAATATAAAGATGCTATCTTATTTCTAAATTATTTTAAATCCACAAATAAAAGTTTTAAAGATCAATCTCGAATGTCAATTAACATTGGATAATATCGATATGAAAATATTTATTGACATTAAATCCGATATATATATTTTTACTTTGATTCCTATCATATTGTATTACTATTTATATATATTGTTATATAAGTTATTTATATAAGTTTTTATTATAATAACTTCTTCAATATAGTAATAATTCATTAGATAATTAGAATTAAATTAAATTTATTAAACTCAAATCACAAATAAAAACTATTTTACTTAAACATTTAATAAAACAAACCAATTGAAACCGATAAGACAAAAAGCAAACGTGGTTCCGCCCGGGATCGAACCGGGGACCTTTCGCGTGTAAAGCGAACGTGATAACCACTACACTACGGAACCACAACAAAAACGGTCAAGATTAATTTCTTTGAATTATTATTCCGTGTGACATTCCTATGTTATATTTGAATATTTTCAATTAATTAGATAAAGATCAAAATATGACAAAATAACACTTAAATAAGTACATTATTTATCGTTAAATATATGTTGAATAAAAAATTTAATTTTTGTAAATTATTAATTATTAATATTTAATAGAATTATATTTTATTCATTCTATATTTTTAATTTGTAAATTCGGAATATCAAATTGTCTCAGCAGAGGTCTCTGTTTTATTTTGAAAAACGTGTAATTTAACGGGTTCGAGTATCAAAACGTGTTTGTTTTTAAGTAAATAAAATGAATTTTAATCGTATACTGAAACTGAAACAATCGGATTTAAGTTATCTCGTAACGAAACGAACTTTAACGTTTCATCAGTGCAATGAATTTACAGGCAAAGGGAAGAAACTATTAAAAGTATCTTTAATGGATTCCACGTGTATGTGTAAAAGAAACCTTCAAGTTTGTTCCGTATTGGCTGCCAAATCAAAGATGCTTTTCTTCCAAAGTCCGTTTCGATGGTTGAGTGTCAGATTAGATTTATTTAGTTTAAAGATTAAATGGGATCCGTCTTTCTCGCTCTCGGAATTTATTCTTGGTGCTAAACAGGTAATAAATGGAAACAACAAACCAAAATTGAAATGACGCTTTCAGGATTTAATTGCGTTTCTTTTAAATGATAAATATATGTGATTAAAAGTTTGATGTTATATGATTATTAAAAGATTAATTAATAAAGGAAAAGTGCTTGATTAAGGCTACTTGAACCACACTGAAGTCATTTCTGGTAATCTTAATTAAGCAATTTTTGTTTTCTGATTTACATTAACTGTCAACAGGTCTACATAATTTATAATTATAAATATTTTAGAACATATGATCATACATATTGAGTAATTTCTTTTATGTTTGATATTTAATAATATAATTCCATGAATCTTAAATATAAGCAGCAATTCAGTTTATAATAATTTCATGATTTCTTGCATAATGCCATTAAGTGGGATGCATGATTCTTTTCTATGAATGAAGAATGAAAAATCTTATTATCTTATTGGTCATACAATTAGTTATTAACTAATATACACTGCTTGCTCTCTTCTTCATTCTACCCCATCCTCATCCCCTACTTTTCATCACTCTCCCTCTTCCTTCCGAACTTTTCCACCTCCAGGTTATACCTTTGAGTGATACCTGGAGGACTCCCCTCTTCTTTTAATAATAATAATAATATACACTGCTTGCTAGGGAATTGTTACAGAGAAAAATCTATATACAGGTATACCTCGCTTTACGTCGGTAATTGGTTCCAGGAGAACGACGTAAGTCGAATTTACTTGTCTCCGAATCTACTTGTCACTAGGCTAAACCATAAATTACCATTCCGGTTCTGTATTTTATTTATTAATGCATTTTTAATAATATATGGTTAATAAAAATCTATTTTAAGCTTACAAACAAATAAATCTTAGTTTTTAATATAGTACAGAAAAAAGTATTCTAAATTTACGAATGCATGTACTGTAAATACAGAACATACTCATAAATATTTTTTAATATGATTTTATGTGCTTTAAACGTTTTTATAGTGATATTACGACTTCAATATTTGTGGCAGACAGACGTCAAGTTGAATAAAATGACTTAAACTTCATTTTTATTTTTCCATATACTTTTTTGACAAATGACGTATAATCGGGAACGACGTAACTCGAAACGACGTAAGTCGAGGTATGCCTGTAGATTGATTCAAACATTAAATCAATCTGCATAGTTCAATCCAAGATTTCAAAAGATAGTTAAATCAATCCAAGATTTCAAAAAATCGAACATCGCAGTTATGCGCATGTCCGATGCAGGGCCTTAATAAAATTATTCGTGTAATTGAAGCAGGAAACCAATTACACAAATAATTTTATTAAGGCCCTGCATCGGACATGCGCATAACTGCGATGTTAGATTTTTTGAAATCTTGGATTCGAACCTGATGATGACCATTGAAGATGGTAGAAAACATTCNAAAAATTTAATTTTTGTAAATTATTAATTATTAATATTTAATAGAATTATATTTTATTCATTCTATATTTTTAATTTGTAAATTCGGAATATCAAATTGTCTCAGCAGAGGTCTCTGTTTTATTTTGAAAAACGTGTAATTTAACGGGTTCGAGTATCAAAACGTGTTTGTTTTTAAGTAAATAAAATGAATTTTAATCGTATACTGAAACTGAAACAATCGGATTTAAGTTATCTCGTAACGAAACGAACTTTAACGTTTCATCAGTGCAATGAATTTACAGGCAAAGGGAAGAAACTATTAAAAGTATCTTTAATGGATTCCACGTGTATGTGTAAAAGAAACCTTCAAGTTTGTTCCGTATTGGCTGCCAAATCAAAGATGCTTTTCTTCCAAAGTCCGTTTCGATGGTTGAGTGTCAGATTAGATTTATTTAGTTTAAAGACTAAATGGGATCCGTCTTTCTCGCTCTCGGAATTTATTCTTGGTGCTAAACAGGTAATAAATGGAAACAACAAACCAAAATTGAAATGACGCTTTCAGGATTTAATTGCGTTTCTTTTAAATGATAAATATATGTGATTAAAAGTTTGATGTTATATGATTATTAAAAGATTAATTAATAAAGGAAAAGTGCTAAGTTAAGGCTACTTGAACCACACTGAAGTCATTTCTGGTAATCTTAATTAAGCAATTTTTGTTTTCTGATTTACATTAACTGTCAACAGGTCTACATAATTTATAATTATAAATATTTTAGAACATCATACATATTGAGTAATTTCTTTTATGTTTGATATTTAATAATATAATTCCATGAATCTTAAATATAAGCAGCAATTCAGTTTATAATAATTTCATGATTTCTTGCATAATGCCATTAAGTGGGATGCATGATTCTTTTCTATGAATGAAGAATGAAAAATCTTATTATCTTATTGGTCATACAATTAGTTATTAACTAATATACACTGCTTGCTCTCTTCTTCATTCTACCCCATCCTCATCCCCTACTTTTCATCACTCTCCCTCTTCCTTACGAACTTTTCCACCTCCAGGTTATACCTTTGAGTGATACCTGGAGGACTCCCCTCTTCTTTTAATAATAATAATAATATACACTGCTTGCTAGGGAATTGTTACAGAGAAAAATCTATATACAGGTATACCTCGCTTTACGTCGGTAATTGGTTCCAGGAGAACGACGTAAGTCGAATTTACTTGTCTCCGAATCTACTTGTCACTAGGCTAAACCATAAATTACCATTTCCGGTTCTGTATTTTATTTATTAATGCATTTTTAATAATATATGGTTAATAAAAATCTATTTTAAGCTTACAAACAAATAAATTTTAGTTTTTAATATA